TTTTAGATGTTGGCCATTCTAACTGGTGTGAGGTGATAATCTCATTGTGGTTTTAATTTGCATTTCCCTGATAATTAGCAATGTGGCTCATCTTTTCACATGCCTGTTGGCCATCTGAATTTCTTCTTTGGAGAATTGTCTGTTCATATCCTCTGCCCATTTTTTAATCAGGTTATTTGCTTTTTGGGTGTTGAGGCTTCCCTACTAAAATTTTTTTTTTTTGAGAGGGCATCTCTCATATTTATTGATCAAATGGTTGTTAACAACAATAAAATTCTGTATAGGGGAGTCAATGCTCAATGCACAATCATTAATCCACCCCAAGCCTAATTCTCAACAGTCTCCAATCTTCTGAAGCATAACGAACAAGTTCTTACATGGTGAACAAATTCTTACATAGTGAATAAGTTCTTAGATGGTGAACAGTACAAGGGCAGTCATCACAGAAACTTTTGGTTTTGATCATGCAATATGAACTATAAACAATCAGGTCAAATATGAATATTCATTTGATTTTTATACTTGATTTATATGTGGATCCCACATTTCTCCCTTTATTATTATTATTATTATTATTTTTAATAAAATGCTGAAGTGGTAGGTAGATGCAAGATAAAGGTAGAAAACATAGTTTAGTGCTGTAAGAGGGCAAATGTAGATGATCAGATGATCAGGTGTGTGCCTATGGACTAAGTATTAATCCAGGCTAGACAAGGGCAGCAAGACATCCACGGATGCAGAAGATTTCTCTCAAAGCAGGGGGGGTGAGGTTCTGAGCCTCACCTCTGTTGATCCCCAAATTCTCACCTGATGGCCCCCCTGCGACTGTGCCTGTCTTAGGTTGTTCCTCCCTTGAGGAATCTTACCCGTCTCTGGCTAACCAGTCATCTTCCGGGGCCATACAGGGAAATGTAAAGTTGGTAAGTGAGAGAGAAGCCATATTGTTTGCAAAGGTTAGCTTTTTACTTCTTTGCAGATTTATGCCCTGTGGCTTCTATGCCCAGCATTTGTTTTGAGGTATCTTTACCACTTGGAGGAATTATGATACTCGGTAAACTCGATATGAGGCACGAATTCTATTTAAGGGTTGTAATTAGGAAGGAAGAAGAAAAGCTATAGAAGTAGCAGGCGGAAGAAAACATGCTTCCCTACTAATCTTAATAAATAATCTTGGTTCTTGTTTTGTTGATTACTGTAGTGAGCTTTGTTTCCCACTAATAGTTATATCTACAAACTTGGCCACTGCTGCCCTAAATACCTGGAACAGGGCAGTCTGTGGCCTAACCAACTTCTTAAGGGGTTTCATCATAATGACAAAAACAACCAGGAACATAGACTGTGTGGTGAGAACACAGAAAGAGTTTGTAGGAATGGGTTGAGTGAAGAGTAATCGAAGGAGAGAATGGCTTAGAAAATGCAAACAGAACTTTGAGCACCTGTCAGGAGAAAGCATGTCCCTATTTGAGCTACAATCATTGAAATTCAAATGATTCTGGGTATGGTTGGCATAGTCCTGTGCCTGGAAAACCCAATAATCCTGGCTTGCTATTTTTACTACAATAGCACTATTTTTAGACCACTAAATCCTGAATGAGCTAGTCAATCTCCAGTGCAGGTGTGCATGGGCATTTCTCCAATATCAGTTGCATTGGAATCATCCTGAGAGCCTGGTAAAAGTGCAGGGTCTTGGGCCCCACACCCAGGGGTCTGATTTGTTGGCCCAAGGTGGGATCCAGGAATCTGTAATTTAAACAAACTGGCCCATCAGTGTGATACAAGCATTCCTGTTTCTGAGAAAATTGGTTTTCACTTATGAATTATGCATTAAGAACCTATGGGGGCCCAAGATTCTTCCCATAGTAAGCTTATTGATAGGAAGGAGAGGGTTTTATTAATCCCTGTATTCTGGCCAAAACAAGACTTGTCACATAGCAGGACTCCTAGAGAATGTTTGATGAGTAAATGAGTCACTGTCCCCACTCAGCCCTAACACTGCGGAGTGGGCACCAAGAGGAAGAGTGTGGGCTCAGAAGCAGCCTGTCTGGCTTAAGAGTTCTGATGCCTTGGTCACAGGCCCTTACTTCACCTTCTCTGTGCCTTTGTTTCCTCAAATGCAAAATGGAGTCAGTTAAACTTAGGAGCAAATGAGTTACCATATAAAAACATTACAAATAATGCCTGACACATAAGTATGTTCTAGATACAAGTGTAAGCTGTTAGCATGATGAGTACTCTCTTGGTAGTTTCAGCAGCCACCATATATTGGACACCAATTATGTTTCAGGCACCCTGATAAATGCTTCACATTATCACATCCCATTCTACTAATCCTATGAGGCAGAAATTACTGTGCCTATTTGCCAGTGAGGAAACAGACTCAGGGGCAATACTTTGCCCATAGTTAAATGTTGATGGAGCTAGAAAAGTTCCTCATGGGCCATTCTGCAACAGCAGTTTCCAAAGTGGGATTCTTGGATCAGTAACAGCATCAATGAAAACTTAGAAATGCAAATTTTGGGGCCCCACCCCAAACCAACAAAACCAGAAACTCTGAGGGTGTATTCCAGCACTCTTTGTATTAACAAGCCCTTTAGGTGTCTCACTGAGTTCTGATACAAACTCAAGGCTGAGAACTTCTGTGCTGGAGGACCACGTGTCTTCTGCCCAAATCATCTATAGTTCCTACTGGGGAGGCCCACCAGGTTTTTCAAGTGTCTAAATGTACAAAATATAATTAAGCAAATAAACTTAACTTATGTCAAACATAGTTTAAATGACTTTAAAACAGAGATTTAGTGAGAAATCTTCAGATGTATCTTAAGGAAAAAGAACTACAAAGCAAATAAAAGCTGAACCCAGTAATCATATTATTAGTAATAATCTTGGTATTGTTACTTTAGAACTATTAAAAACAAGACAACAGGCCCATAATGGAGTGGCCTATGATAAGCACCCATGTCACCAAACAAAGACTTAATTACAGTTTCAGCTGCCCTAGAAATGGAATCTTAAACCAGTCATTCAGGAATCACTTGATCAGCACCAGTTGGTAATCTGCCAGGTAGACTTCTGCCATCCCCTAAAGGAAAGTGACCTTTCATGACCTATCTGGTTTTTTGCCTAGTGCAACTTTCTTGTTTGCACTCCCTTCTACCTACAAAAGTCTTTCATTTTGTACAGCTCCTTGGAGCTCCTTTCTGTCTGCTAGACTGGATGCTGCATGATTCATGAATCACTGAATAAAGCCAGTAAGATACTTAAAATGTACTTAGTTGAATTTTGTTTTTTAACAGTTTTGGTGGCAGTGGTGGGATCTGAGGCTGCTGATGGTTTCTGCGACAAGAAGAAACACAGGTGTTAATACCTGGTAAAACCTTTGAGTTCTCTTTCTTACTGTTTCCAAGGGCTTGTGTGTAAGTTCCTCTGGGAACCCAGCTCCTCTCTCTTTGCACTGAGCTCTAGATCTAATTGGCTGTGGGTCCAGACTGATGGGCAGCTCTAACAAAGTACTAGTCCTTAGCCCTTGGTTAGTCTGTGGTCCCAGTCTAGGGCTTAGTGGGTCACCTTGAGCTGGTTCCACCCTGAACTGAGTCCCTAGTCCTTGGTTAGCCCACAGTCTTGATTTGTTGCATTCTTCTGGTTTAGTCTGGAGTTCCACATAATGTTCTTCATGTAATTGCAGATTAATGATAATAAAATTTTTAAAAAATCCCCAGTCCTAGCGACACATCCCTCTCAGATATTAGTTTGGCTCTAAGAGACCCAAGTTAAAGATACGGGATCTTCAAGTTTCAAAGAATTGAGCACACCTCCTTCCAGCACAACTAGCTTATTTTATGTCTAAGAATTATGGTCCTGGAAGTTGGAGATAGCTACAAAAATGGAAAGATCTTACCAAGACAGCCTAGAATAATAATGGCCCTTATGGGGTATGTTCTAATTAGACAAGATTGTTTAAGAAGTATACTTCAAAGTAATGATTCCCAAATCAACAACTAGTATGAGATTTAATTGGTATGCAGATGCCTTCAAAAGACTTTAAGATTCTGAAACAGTCTTATTGAAAGATTCACTGCAAAGGAGCAGAAAAAATTTAAACGCACAAGAGGTACCTTAAAACAAAAGACTCTAAGACGCTTGGACTCCTACTGCTCCTCTATCCTCCTTCACCTGAGTACTCACAGTCCACTAATCCTCTACCTGATTGTCTTTCCGCTCTGAAGAGACTAGAACACCATCAACAAAACTGCTGTTAGTGGCCCAGCTGAAACAGTTCCAAGGCCAGAAACCTAAACAACTAGCCTCCCCCATTGCACTCTCTTAGGTGTCCATCTGAGAGGTCCATCATCAAAACACCGGCCCAGCATGAAGCGTCTCATTGGCAGTCAACCAGGACGTGGGGAAAATAGATCGTCTTTGAAGGTTTTGTCGAATCTTTACACACCAACTTGACTCCCCCCCATATCTACCCTCGAAAGAGACCCCCAAATGAACGTCTCCCAGGATTGATGTGACTCTGAGGGATTCTCTGGTGAACTACTACCATTTATTCCCTTAAAAAGCCAAGGAGAAACTAAAATTAGTATTAATGGAATCCTTGCCAAATTCTGGCAGCTACTGGGACTACTCTAAACCCCACTTGCTCTGGAGTCTACAATGGGATCCTGAGAAAACTGGCAGAGGCCTGAGAAGGATATTCTTAGTGGATGTGGAAAGACTGATTAAACAAGATAGATGTGTCTATGCTGATTATTGTTGAAAATGGATAAGAGATACATGAGGGTTCATCACACTGTTTCCTCCACTTCTGAATGTTTGGAATATTCCATTAAGAGAATCACAGAATTTCAAGCCAGTCACGACTCCCGGTTTCTACTTCCATAAAATGGGTTGACTACAGGAACACTATAATCACAGGAACATTGTGAGGAACAGTGCAAGCAAAGCGCCTTACAAAATGCTGTCTTACCATTGCTACTATGGTTGCCAACACTACTTACCTGCCTACAAGGGTTCCCTCCTCCCCTCTCTGTAATGGTTTATCCCACTCTTCTCTGGTTCTTTCCCAAGATTCCTTCCTCCCAGAGGCCTCACTGCCGGGGCCCCTGTATCCTCAGTGGTATAGCCCGACTTCCCCAAGGGAAACCCCTGGGGCGGAGCACAAGTTATCTGCAAGTGCCCGCGGCTCCCTCTCCCGAGGCCACTTGGACCGCTCCGCTTGAGCCGGTAATCAGGGGGCAGGGCGCGAGTCCAAACTCCGATTGGCCGGGACCGAAGAAAACATCCGGCAAGGTGGGGCGGGGCCGGAAGTGAAAGGAGAAGGCGGTGGCTGAGGGTGTTCAGAAGGTTCCGGGCTCGGAGTCAGGGCTCCTGGTACCATGGGCCAGGCTGGGGTGTGCTAAGGGGACGCGGGGGTGGGTCATGGCCGGCGCTCGGGCCGCCGCCGCCGCGTCGGCAGGGCCCACGGCTTCTTCGAACAGCCCGCCTCCGCAGGAGCCGGGGCTCGGGGAGCTGCTGGAGGAGTTTTCCCGGACTCAGTACCGGGCCAAGGACTGCGGCGGGACGGGCGGCTCTAAGGTGAGTCCGGGCCTATGGGCAGAAGAAGGTTCATTGCTCGAGAAGCTACGGAGAAAGGCTGTCAGGGGTCAGAGGAAAGGGAGAGAGCGAAATTCCCAGGGTCTGGCTCCGGGGAGTAAGGGTCAGGTTTAAAACCCAAAAGAGAGGAACTGGGGTCAGAATGAGCCAAGGAAGGATGGCCTTTACGTTTGAGGCAAAGGGTTTAGAAGTCAAGGATCAGAGCTGAGGGGCCATGTTCAGAAATTAGAGAGGAATAGATGAGGATGATATTCCCCTGCATCAGGTGTGCGGACAAACGCCCCCAAGTCTAAGAAAACAAAGTCTAGAGGGTTCCTCCACATCACAGGTCAGCACGAAGAGTCTGGAGTACTGGAACGGAGCCGGGAGATGAACGGAGGGTGTTCTTTCTTGTACAGTTTCAGTATGATTTTAGACCTAGGCTCATCCCTTTTCTTCCCCTGTAGAACAGGAAGATAGCCCGCACACTGTTCCTTTAAAAGCAGGTCTCAGTTCCTCATTTTTCTACCCTTGGGATTCCCTTAGTCTCCTTATTGCCAGACCTGGAAGTCTTCTATTGTGATCAGACCATTCCCATCCTAGACACTGTCTGGCATTCTGATGGGAATCTTGCTGACCCTGGCATCTTTTATTCCCCCACGTGGTTTTGGCAGATTTAGCATCAGGTTTTCCAGTGGGATTCTGTTCCATCATGGGCCACGAAACTCTGGTTTGGCTCCAGAGGTTACCTGTGCTAGGACAAACTGCAGTTAGCATCTGCTAGTCTCTGTAGTAACCCAGGGAAGACTTCAGTATTGGGTGGTACTTCCCTACTCTCCAAACCACCAAGTATTTTTCATAGCTTAGCCTGAGGACCATCTGTTTCAGCATCATCTGAGGTACTTGTTAAAAAGAAAGATTCCTTGGTCCCACCCAGTCCAACGGAGTCATGTTTTGGAGGGTGGGAACATGAAATCTCTGTTTTTTAACAGACTTCTTAATGATACTCATGCACCTTAAAATTTGAGGATTCCTGTGGAGAGGCAATGGTTTTGCTGGGCCCTTTTTCAATCTTACATACCCCTGAAGATTAGGGCTAGTCTAAGTTACACCTGACTTTCACTGCAGCTGGCCTTAAAGCCTCTCTGAGCCTCCTCATCTCTTGCAGACTTCTTGAGAAGTTATAGGTGTTAATGCTTTTTTTTCTAGTGGGCCTTTCCTTAAACTGTGAACAAATCCTTGCATTTGGTAAGTAAGTGGTGTTTTAAGGAGACAGCTTTATCTGCGGCTTTTACTCATTAAGTAGAGCTTCTAGGTACTGATCTGTGGCTGGAGAATGGGGAAGAACCTGGAGCCACGAGAAGACAATGGATTAGTTCCAGTTACAGTAACTAAAGCAAGAGTTCTACATATTTTATGGATTGTGGACCCCTTTGAGAATCTAATGAAAGCTGTAATCCTCTTTCAGATGTTTAACAGACACAATTTCACTGCAACTTTAAGGGGTACAGGGTCCCACCCAAAGTGTACCTGAGGATTAATGAACTGAACTGTTTGTTGAGGCCCTGTGACCCAGCAACATGTCTCTTCCTGGCATTCAATGATTATCAGAGGCACATGTCATTGCTTGTGACATCTCCAGGTCATGAACCGCCTAATTCTCACACTTAGAACCCCAGAATCATTATGCTTAGGCCTCCTCTACTGTGCAGGTTGAACGCATTGAGAAGAGATGTCTGGAGCTGTTTGGCCGAGACTACTGTTACAGTGTGATCCAAAATGTGAACGGGGATATCTGCGGCCACTACCCACAGCACATCGTGTTCCTGGAGTATGAAAGTGCTGAGAAGGAGAAAGACACGTAAGCATGATGTGACCAGAGTGTGCCTGTCTAGGAGGTCTTGACAGCTCATCCCAGGGTCAGGAAGCTTGCAGCTGGGCGGCGCAGACTCACTTTCCCTAGATGTTAAGCCATATTGGCATCTTTGTTTATTTCAGGGTTTAATAACTAAGATTGCAAGGTAATGTGATACAGAATGAGGGGTTGGGAGTCACAGCCCTGTATTTCTATTTCACTCCCCCCTTAGGGTTCATTATTCCAAGATGGCTGACCACACACCTCACCTCTCAGAACCTCAGTGTCCTTTTTTAAGAGGTATGGGTGAGAGGTATGCTATATTGACATGCCTAAGAGCTTGAGTTCTGAAGTCAGAGTGCTTGAGTTTACATGCTGGCTGCCCCACTTGCTAGGTGTGTAACTGACTTGGACAAGTTATTTAACCTCTTTGTCTCTTAGTTTGCTCATCATTAAGTCTCTACTTCTATGTAGAAAAGTGACTAGTGCAATCCTTGATGATAAATGGGGCTATTATGAGCCTGATGTGTTCTTAGAATTAAAAATAAGAGCTACCATTTATGGAGGGCCTACCATAGCCTGAGTGCTTTCTGGGTGGTAACAGTTCATACCAGAGTAGACCTAAAGCACTTGACATGGGATGCAGCCCATAAGTAGTAAATGTTGTTTGGCACTAATAAATAACACAGCACTGAGGCTCCAAGAAAGGTTTTATGTTGATCTCAAAGTTTGTTCCCCTAGTTCCCTTGCTTGCTGCTGATTTTAAGGGAATTCCAGGAGCTGTTGTTAACAATATTTGTGAAAGCTTGGTCCCATGTGTACAATTTTATGAGTCCTAGAGGAGAGACATGCTGCTAAGTGCAGCAGGCCCCCCACTATTCAAAGCATGCCCTTTGGAGCATCCAGGAACTGGCCAGAGACTCTGACTTGGGTTCCAGAGCCACTGAATCAAAAGCACAGCATAACAAGATGCCCCAGTGATTTATGTGCACATTATAGTTTGAGGAGCACTGCCATTGGCAGACTGGGGATAACAGTTAATTCTGCCTAGTGTGTCTGTGTTGAAGATCCCTTGTAGAGCTCCTTTTCAGGGGGTATTGGAAAGATGAGTCAGAGTTACCCTAAAGTGTTGTTAGGGACTGATTTGTGTAGGGTCTTGAGTGTGGACTTATAGGTGTTAGTGGTTTTATTGTACTAATATTCCCTGAGCACTCATTAAAATCACTGATTCTAGGGCCCCTGAATCACAATTTCCAGAATCTTCACTCTCAGAAAACTCCCTAAATGAATCTTACATGTGCTATAGCCTGAGAGCTGCTTCCGTGGCCTCTGGGAGCCAGAGAAGGCTTTTGGGCAGAAGAATGACCAGCTCAGAGGAGTTTAAGGACTAAGTCTTAGTTGCCTCATCTGTAAAATGGGATGTCTAAGTGTGCAGTCTCAAGGTTGTGGTGAGCTTCCCTGATATGAATGTATTAGAAAAACAAAATGTATGTAGATCATAGAAATTGCAACATTCCTCAGCTGTAGAACAACAGAACTTAAGGGATCCCGAGCCTAAAGAATTGGGCTTTGTATGGCCCTGTTATTTACAGTTTCTGTTTCTTTCTGACTTCTTCCAGAGTTTGGTGAATTCACCTTCTACAAAGTCTTTAAGCTGAAGTTTCTGAAAAAGAGCTCTTTTCCCTTGGCCTTGCCCTCCTTTCCACCCTCTTCAGTGCTGGCTGGTGGTTTTAGCTCAGTTCCCTGATGGCATTCTGATAGTCAGCCCAGCTATAGTCAAGGTGGTTCCTCTCCAACTTGACTTAATGAGTGAATCACTTAGGGCTCTAGTTACAATGCAGATTCTGACTCAGTCTATCTGGAGTGGGGCCTGAGCTTCATTTTCTAGTAGGCTCCCAGAAGCCAAATCAGGCTGTAGTAGCAGTACATTAAGGAACTTGGTTTTGGTTGCCTCGCAGAAGCTTTTTCTGAAAGGAAACAAGTTCAGTACTAATTTAGTCTAGCCCTTAAAAGAGAAGGAAACTAACATTTGTTGAGTGCCACTGTTTGGCAGGTGTTAGAGTTTCATACACTAGCTCACTCAAGTCCCACAGCCACCCAGTGGAGAAGGTCATATCACCCCCATTGTACAGAAGAGGAAGTTGCAACCCAGAGAGGTAACTTACCTTTGCTCAAGATCACAGAGGTAGTAAGCAGAAGGTGATTAAAAGCCAGGTCTCCCTTACTCTGCTTTGTCCATCTGTCTGCCTTTTTTTTCTGTCACCACCATGGTTCTTCCACTTCAAGGCCAGGGCTACTGAAGTATATCCCTAGTCCTAGAGGAGTTATGGGAGTTCATTTTTACTTCTCACCCCTTGCAAGGCCTTGAAGTAATCCTGAGTTGGTGATGCCTGTTTGTAGAGGAGAAGGGAGTACATGCCTGTTTAGGTGGAAAGAACTTATTGCTCCTTTTACATACCTGGCTTTGGTGTTGATATGACATTAATTAGACTGAGTTACACAGGTAGAACTGCATTCAAGAAGTGGTTTGGTCCTGTTAATTCACCTCCCCAGTTTAGCCCACCATCTGGAAATAGAAACCTGGATGGGGATCTCTCAACAGCCAAGATGTGTTTGTTGACAATTGTTCATTGAGTACTGCCATGTGGCAGATTCCTGGGATCCAGTTGGAAGCCCTACCAGGTAGATGAAGGCTCTACGGTTGGGTGTAGTGAGATACACCACTAATAAGTAAAGACAGTGTTAACAAGAGTCAGAATTAGGGGAAGTACAAGCGAGGCTTTCTGAGA